TTTGCAGTGTAACATACGATCTATCCTGGAGAAGCTTTCAGGTGTATGCTTGAGCAAAATGTATATTTTGCTGCTGTTGGATGGACTGTTCTATAAATGTCTGTTAAATCTATCTGGTTTAATGTGTAGTTTAAGAGCAATGATTTCATATTGATTTTCTTTCTTTATTATCTATCCATTGTTGAGAGTAGGGTAGTCAACCCTATTGTTATTGTATTGCTATCTATTTCTCCCTGCATGTCTGTTAATATTTGCTTTAAATATTTAGTTGCTTCTATGTTAGGTTCATAAATATTTACAAATGTTATATCTTCTCATTGGATTAACTTTTTTATCATTATGTAATGCCCTTCTTTGTCTCTGATTGGAGTCTTTGGCTGAAAGTCTATTTTACTTGATATAAGTATACCCCTGCTTTCTTTTGTTTTCATTTGCATAGAATATTTTTTCTATCCTTTCATTTTCAGTCTCTGTACTTGAAGCTTAAATAAATCTCTTGCAGGCAGCATGTAGTTGGGTCTTTTTTTTAAAAGAAATCCGTTTAGCTATTATATGTCTTTTGATTGAAGAATTTAGTGCATTTGCATTAAAGTAATTATTGATCAGTATGGACCTTACTGTGTCATTTTGTTAATTGTTTTCTGGTTGTTTTGTAACTGCTGTTTCTTCCTCTTTTGTTTTCTTTTATGATTTGATGATTTTCTGTGGTGCTATGCTTAGATTTCTTTCTCTTTTGTGTGTCTGCTGTAGGTTTTTGCTTTGTACTATCGTGAGGCTTATGTAAAACATCTTACAGTTATAATAGTCTATTTTACTTTTACTTTTTAAAAAAATATTTATTTATTTAATTAATTAATTAATTAATTTTTTTGAGAGAGAGCACACAGGAGCAGAGGGGAAGGGAGGGAGAGTCCTAAGCAGACTATTGCTGAGCATGGAGCCTGATGTGGGGCTTGATTTCATGACTCTGAGATCACAACCTGAGCTGAAATCAAGAGTTGGACACTCAACTGACTATGCCACTCAAGTGCCCATATAACAGTCTATTTTAAGCTGATAACAACCTAACTTGGGTTGTATGGAAAACTTCTGAACTTTTATATTCTCCCCTGACATTTTAAGGTTTTGATCTCGTAATTTACATTTTTTAATGTATCCATTAGGAAATTACTGTGATTATGGGAATTCTTAATACTTTGGTCTTTTAACTTTTTTTTTTTGTTTTTTAACTTTTATATTACAGTTATAGAAGTGACTTACCTACCACCACTACAATATTAGAGTATTCTGAATTTAACTATATATTTACCTTTTCTGGTGAGTTTTATACCTTGCCATGTTTTAATGTAACTAATTAGCACTCTTTCATTTCATCCTGAAGGACTCCTTTTAACATATCTTGTAAGGCTGGTTTAGTGGTGACGAAGTCCTCCAGCTTTTGTTCGTCTGGAAAATTCTTTATCTCTTCTTTGATTTGGTAGGATAACTCTTAGAGAGAGTGTCTTTGGCTGGCAATATTTTTTATTTCAGCACTTTGAATATCTTATTCACTCCCTTCTGGCCTACATGGTTTTTATAAAATCCACTGATAGACTTATGACAATTTTCTTGTATGCAATTAGTTGCTTTTCTTTTGCTGGCTTTCTTTGTCACCTTTGACAATTTAATTATAATGTGTCTGCATATGAATCTCTTTAGATTCATCTTATTTGGTACTTCTTGGGCTACCTGAATCTGGACATCTTGTTTTTTCTTTCAGATAAGGACAGTTTTGAGGCATTTCTTTAAATTCGCTTTTACCTCTTCCTCTCTCTCTTCTTCTTCTTCTGGGATCTCTTTAATGTGAATATTTTTCTTTTTGATGATGTCCCATAAGTCTCTTAAGCTATCTTCACTCTTTTTCCTCTTTGCTTCTCTGATTAGGTGTATTCCATTGCCTATCTTCTAACTTGTTGTTCTTTTCTTCCCATTGATCTAGTCTGTGGTTGAGTGTCTCCATCAAGTTTTTCACTTTAGTTATTGTATTCTTCAGCTCTGTCATTTCTGTAGCACTTTTTGATATTCTCTCTCTTTGTTGAAATTGTCACTTTGTTCATACATCACTCTTCTGATCTTGGTGAGCATCTTTATGTTATTTTGAGCTCTCTATCAGATAAATAACTTATTTCTATTTCTGTCAGATCAGTTTCTGGAAATTTACCTTTTTCTCTTGTTTGGAACATATTCCTCTTTCTTCACTTTCTTTGATTCTTTATGTTGGTTTCTATATATTAGCTAAAACAGCCACCTTTCTCAGTCTTGAGACTGGTCTTGTGTAGGAGATGACTCTCATCAATCAGTCTGGTCTGAGTGCCAGGTTCCCTCAGATCTTTATGATTGCCTTTGTTCTTTGTGGCTCCTCGTGGTTGGGGGTGTGCCAAGATCCATCTGTGTCCCCAGGGGAATGATAGCAGTTGGCACCTAGATGCATGTTGATTAGAGGCTGGACCTCAGACAACAGCTGGGAAAGTATGCAGTCAAACCCTTCTGGGGAGATAGGTGAAACACCTGGTGAGAGACAGGTGTTTGTGCCTTCTCCTTCTGCACTGAGCTGGGATGTATAGCCATGGAGTTTGCTCCTGAGCCTGTTTAAAAACTGCTTCTTTGTCTGGTATAGCCCTGTGTCTGCAAAACCCATTGGCTGTCAGAGCCAGGTGATCTGGGGGCCCATCCCTTGGGCAGTAGGTGCAAAGGCTGATGTGCCAGACATGTGTAGAAGCTCTTTCCCGAGAGACACTGCTTGCCTCATATTGGAGTGAGCATGAGTGTGACCCACTAGCTCTTTTGGGTTCCAGGAGGGATTGCAGTGAGCACCTAGATATATGTTAATTATAGTCCAAATCCTCAGGTAGCAGCTTGTAAAGTATGCAGTGAGACCCTTTGCAGGGAAATACTGGGAGATGGATGGTTTTGCCTGATCCCTCTGTGCTGATCCCTAGAAAGATAGCTGTGGTTAGTGCTCCTGTGCCTGTCAACACCTTCTTTTTCTGTTTGTTATGGTCCAAAGGGACTCGTGAATGTAAGCTCTGCTTGGTCTTACAGCTAGGCACTTCGGGGCCTGCTCCTCATGTGGGAGTCTTTAAAGTTGGGGCCAAAACATGTGGTCCAAACCCTTCACTCCTTGAGGAGAAGCTATGAGTTGGGGGTTCCCTCCTGAATATATGGTGTTGTGCCTGGAGTGGGGTTTAAACACCCATTTAGATGTGGGTATTTTTTCTATCACCAATGCCTAGGAGTCAAACAAATAGTTCTGGATTTCTCTCAGAGGGAATTGCTCCACGTGGCGCTGTACATTTGTCGTGTCTGTGGGAGAGGGACAATCCAGAAAGCTCCCATATTGCCATTTTGGTAAAAAACAAAACAAAACAAAAACTTCTTTAGTTTTTTAAATTAATTTATAGATTGTTTTATTAAAATTGTTTTATATGACAAGTATTCATTCATTCATTCATTTTTATCAGTGAGTGTTATTAAATTCTTCTCTAGATGCTGTGACTACAGCAGTGAATCAAATAGAAAAAAGTTCTGGAGCACAGATCTTGGTAGGAGAGGAGACAGAAAATAAATCAATAAACACATAGCTGTATTATATATCTTGTAATAAGTGCTACAGAGACAATGTAAGGGGGATTCAAAGTGAGAAGTGAGAGTGCTCTTTTACAAGTGTTCTCTGGGGAAGGTCTTTCTGGTAAGGAGATGTTTGAGTGCAGATTTGGAGGATGTGAGAGAGTGTGAGGTGTGTGGATATATGGCGTGAAATGGAGGGAGAGCATTCCAGCTAGCTGCCTGGAGAAGCAAGCAAAGGCCCCGAGGTACCTCTTTTTGATCTTTCTAAAGTGAGGTATGCAGGACATTTTAGCTAATAGCTGATGGCTATTTCATGTGTCCTCTCTCTGGTTGATACCATAGGATATGGAGACAGATACATGTAGCACCTGAAATAATCTTTTCCATTCAACAGTAAGTGCCAGGACTGGAAGAGAGCAGGAGAAACTATTGTGTTCTTTTGATTTTTGCTGAGGGCCCCCAAAAAAAGGAAAGAGAAAAGAAAAAGTAATACCTTCACTTTCTTTTTGTAATCTTAAAAAGCACTGTTAGGTTATGTAATCATATTGTTTATGATCAAAAATTTTAGCTGGGGCACCTGGGTGGCTCAGTTGATTCAGTATCTGCCTTCAGCTCAGGTCATGATCCCAGGGTCCTGGGAGCTAGTTCTGCATTGGGCTCGCTGCTCAGCGGGGAGCCTGATTCTCCTCTCTCCTTGCTCCTCCCTCCGTCCCCTGCTCATGCTCTCTCTCTCTCTCTTTCTCTTTCTGTCTTTCTGTCAAATAAATAAATAAATAAAATCTTTAGAAATAATTTTTAGTCGTCATTTATATATATATGTATACACACACACACACACGAAAAATGTAAACAGAATCCCGAGAAACACTATTTTATTTTACTTTGTTATTGTTTTGTATAGAACAAGAGTAGCATATATGAATGGAGCTGGCAGGCAAGATTAAATAAGTGAATCAGGCTCAGGCATTAAGGAGTAAGAGTCGCGGAGGAATGGCAAATTGGAGAATTTGTTTCCCTGTATAAAGGGAAGAGCTGTTATTAACTCTAATTGATTGTTGTGTGGGCCTAGTTTTGAACTATTTTCTGATTTTTCAAGAAATTTGCATTTTATGTGCTATCTCCTGCTTTTTTAAACTGTTGGAAATTAAATGAAAACATTTCAGGACCCTCTTCAGACCAGACAGAACATTTATGCAGTGGGATCTTGCCCTCAAGTTACCAGTTTGCAACGTTTTGGGATATAAGATCATGAATAATTTTTTTTGCTTCCTTTTCAAGGGGTACTATCGATCTCATAGTAATAAATTGCTCAGGATTTCTGGCTACAAACATGTAATTGTACTATTGCTCTCCTTGCATGATGCTGTTGACTATGTCCATTCTTCTCATTTTAGGGTATGGCCAGACAGGCCCACTGTCTCAGCGAGCTGGTTATGATGCTGTTGCCTCTGCTGTTTCTGGTCTGATGCATATCACAGGGCCTGAGGTAGGTATCATTCTTTAGAATATTCATAAATTTCCCCCCTGTTTATTCCAAAGGGATTTTCTTATTCACTAACTATAAGCTTAAATTTGAGTTAATTTTAGAAAGAAACTAGGGAAAGTGAAATCTTATTGAAAATGGAAGTGTTTATTACAAATGTACTTGAGGTTAAATGTCAATGCGGCTCCATGGAAGAATAACAATTTTTTTTAATTAACATATAATGTACTATTTGTTTCGGGGGTACAGGTCTCTGAATCATCAGTCTTACACAATTCACAGCACTCACCATAGCACATACCCTCCCCAGTGTCCATCACCCAGCCATCCTATCCCTCCCCCCACCCCCAGCAGCCTTAAGTTTGTTTCCTCAGATTGAGAGTCTCTTATGGTTTGAGTTTGTCTTCCTCCCTGGTCCCATCTTGTTTCATTTTTCTCTCCCTTCCCCCCCACAACTCCCTGCCCTGCCTTTCAAATTCCTTGTATCAGAGAGATTATATGATAATTGTCTTTCTCTGATTGACTTATTTCGCTTAAGCATAATACCCTCTAGTTCCATTCACTTCATTGCAAAAGGCAAGATTTCTTTTTTGATGGCTGCATAGTATTCCATTGTATATATATACCACATCTTCTTTATCCATTCATCTGTTGACGGACATCTAGGCTCTTTCCATTGTTTGGCTATTGTGGACATTGCTGCTGAAAACATTTGGGTGCAAGTGCCCCTTCGGATCACTACATTTGTATCTTTAGGGTAAATACCCAGTAGTGCAATTGCTGGGTTGTAGGGTAGCTCTGGAAAATAATAATTTTTTTTTTTTTTTAGCAAGAAGCAACAGACCAATTGATGAACACTTGATCTGTTTTTGTATTATAATTTTGCATTTGTATTTAATTATTCAAGCTTGGTATAGGCCCTGGGCGTGGCTTACGAATACTCTTTCTGTGAAGTGGAATAGTTGACTAGACCAGATGGCAGATGCCCATTTCCGTCAGAGTACCTTCATGTGGCATATGTACTCAGCGGAGGGTCTCTTTTTCCCTCTGCAATATTAATAAGTGGTTATGTATGTTAAAATTTGTTACTTAAGGCCTTAGGGGGAGTTGTGTCTAATTGTTGCATACATTAGGTTCTGACAGTGGGGGAATTATTTGATTTTATAGCAATCCCTCTTTTTTGATAATAGGTTAGAAATTTCCTAGAAAGTATACAGATGGCTAAAATGTGTTATCTTAGATGGAAGACTCTTAGAAAATGGACTCTTTGAGAAAACAGTAAGAATGGCATGGAAGTTAAAGGAGAGTATGAGAGCCTAATAAATAAAAATAATGAAAGGCATCCATTTTCAAAACAGCTTGGACTGGTAGGCGTAAAACCTTTTTCCACTTAGGTGTTCCTTCCCTGAGTTGCTTGCATCAGTGATTTCTTTAGGGAACACAGTTGCAGTTCTGGGATGAGCAGAGGCAGAGTGACCTCAAGTTTTAACTTCTTTTTATTAATTTTAAAGCAGCTGGTGGGATTTCAGTGACCTGAGATATAGGTATTTGTATTTCATTGTCTGTTTCATTTTCATAAGTCTAGGAAAAAAATGTATGACCTTTCCTTAAAATATTTAAGGATACCAGATTTCTTTCCATCCGCTGAGAGAATGGAGCATGGATCTCTTTCTTTGCTCTATCCCACAGAAGTGCTTATGTGTATAAGACAGGATTGTTGAAAGTGCTGAACTCAGCCATGAATATGTGAAAAGATCTTGGGCTGTTAAAGTTGCACATTCACATGTTAAAATGAATTAACTCAGAACCCCCTGTTGGGAAGGGTTACTGTGGTTCCTTTACTGCATGAAGCCCTGCTCTGACAGGGTTAACCACACAGCGCATGCTCAGCCTTGTCATTTGTCAGGCCCTCTCTCTCACAGGCCCTCTCTCTTCCATTGTGCTACTCGGTAGATGATGAGAGCGTTGACTGAGTGCTCACTAGGAACCCAGCACTATTTTATAGACTTTACATGTGTTAAGTAAACCGAACTTCCGTACACCATGTTTCTTCCACATGGACACACCCTTATGTCTTAAATCATCGATCCAGTGACTGGTCATTGCCCATACTCCTGTATGCTGGGAACTGGCAGGCACTGGCGATACAGCGGGTGATGGGGTAGGCACAATCCTTAAGTGGAGAAAACAAACATTAACAGAAAATAAACAGTAGACACAAAAAGAATCCTGAAAAAGGGCTCGATATACTATTAACATATGTCACAGTGTGCCTCAGACCATTAACATACTTCCAAAGTTCTCTGCAAAATGCAGTCTGACAATCAGGGATAAAAGCAGAAATGAGGAGAATTGGGTCATGTCAGGAGTTGCCCTTAATAGAACTCCCCGTTAGACAAACCATAAGAGACTCTTAATCTCAGGAAACAAACTGAAGGCTGCTGGGGGTCGGGGGAGGGATAGGGTCGCTGGGTGATGGACACTGGGGAGGGTATGCGCTGTGGTGAGTGCTGTGAATTGTTTAAGACTGATGATTCATAGACCTGTACCCCTGGGGCAAATGATACATTATATGTAAAAAAAAAAAAAAATAGAACTCCCTGTTATCAGCAACGCATTCTGCGTCATGGCAGAGGAGGGGTCACTTCTGAAAGCCCTGGTTAACATCACAGGAGCATTATTGTTATATCGTGCTGCTTGTGAAATTTTATCGACCTGCACAGCTGTGTATTTGTGCCGTAGCATAACTCCATTTTGTTAGATGACTGATGGGAACCCAGGCTTCTCTATCATTTATTGTTATCCGGAGGCTTCACCATATCACCCTGTACGGTGCAGCCTGACCTCGCCAGGATGGAGGGTCAGAGAGGGCTTCTCTGAGAACCAGATGTTTAAGGTGGGATCCAGTTAGGCATTAGGCTGGTGACCAGAGGACCTTGCCATGCATGGTGTTTAACTGCTGGGGAGTCTGGTAGGTTTGAGGAGTCAAGGAATGCCAGTGTCACTGGGTTGTTGTGAGCCTGCAAAGAAGGGAGAAAATTAGGTTGGAGAGGTAGGATGTGGGAACTGGACTTACTGTTTAGGGACTTATTATATTACTCAATATTTTGATAAGAAGAGATGATGCATTAGTATACATACACATTTTTATTAGCGATGATCTAATATATTCTTTTTTTTAAAAGATTTTATTTATTTATTTGACAGAGAGAGAGAGATCACAAGTAGGCAGAGAGGCAGGCAGAGAGAAAGGGGGGAAGCAGGCTCCCCACTGAGCAGAGAGCCCGATGCGGGGCTCAATCCCGGGACCCTGAGACCATGACCCGAAGGCAGAGGCTCAGCCCTCTGAGCCACCCAGGCGCCCCTGATGATCTAACATATTCTGCCTAGAAAATGAGTGATAGTCCCACAGTATAGAGTAGTATTTTGATAAAAAAAACTCTCAAAATGCATGTTTTTTTTTTAATAATGGGATAATATTGCCTTTTTTATCCCAGAAGAACATCATCTAAGTGTATAATATATGATCAAATTTGTGAAAGCAGTCTTTATGATGAAATTTAAGCAAACTAATGACTAATGACTAATCTAGCCTTTCAGGTTAGGTATGCAGTGGTATAGTCAGATGAGATTCACATTTGATTTGGAGAAAGAGAGAACCAGTAACACTGGCCTACATTCTGCTAGACCCATGCTTGATCCTCACACTGATCCTTCCAGGGCTATTGATAAATTGGTATTGATAGGTGTTGATAAATTCTGTAACTAAATCTTAAAGCTTAGATAACTTGTCCAGGTTGCAGCCTTGGTATATAAAGTGCTGAGGGCAGACTTTGAACTCATGTTTGCTCTACTCCTTATACTCTGATGCCTCAATCCACTCTCCATACTGCCTGCAGAATGAATCCTGATTTTTATTGTATTTGCATCTGCTTATGCATGCTACATGATACGATGCATTACAGTTAGTGAACCAACCATTTGGTGGCGTGAGAAAGCACTCAATTAAGAGTCTGGGGGCGTGGCTTTACCTAATTACTCTTGTGTAATGCTTACTGGCTGTCTAAACTTCTCCCCAGGAGAGTATATGCCTCGTAAGAGTCTTTGCTTGGTCGCTGCTGTATCTTTATGCCTAGACCAGTCTGGAACTTAGTCAGCACTTGACAAATTCATGTTGAATGAAGGAATAAATGCATACCTGGCATTGTGCTAATTGATCTTGAGCATATATAGCTTCTCTGTGTTTTAGTGAAGTGCATCTGGAAATGATACAAACTTTCTCTTCAAGATATGGTAATATGCAAATAAAATATCTTTTATAAGACATAAAAGCACACAATTGTGTATAATGCAAGATGCTACACAAAATAATCAGCCAGGGCTGGGTATATCTGCAGATTTCTCAGCTCCACTCTTGTGGGCTTTAACCCAAATAAGTAATGCATATTTAATGATGGCTTCAAATGCTTCTGAAGATGGTTTGTGGGTAACTCTTAGAAACACTATGAGAGGTGTTATTGAAAACCCCTTTGCATTAAAGGAGGTAGCAGATATTCTTTGATAGTCTCTAACAGAAGTTAATGACGTATTAAGGTCTATATATTATGATCTTCTTCTTCAAATAAAGTATTTTTTCATATGCATGGCTCAGTGCTAACCAGTTATTACTCAAAACAAGTATCTATCTATCTGTCTAGCTATCTCGTTTTTTTTTTAATGCATAAGGAATTTGGAGAGGGGATTGGGAAGGAAATCAAGGAGTATGAGATTGTGGAAAGTAAATGACTGATAAATATGTAATATGTATTCTAAGTAATAAGTCATTAAACATTAAGAAAGTTATACTTGTCAATTGATGAACAATGATGTATTGACTATATGGGTATAGTTTTCCCCATTGACAGTTTCTTAAACTAAGACAACAGAGTTTGCTGCATTGATTACTCTTTCTTTCACGAACTCTTTCTCAGCAAGTGATGCTGCTTGATAGCATTTTACCAGAG